ATTCAGTATATTGATATACTTCCATCACTGTAAATAACTGAGGAAGTCTTATAGGGATTTCTACAAATCAATAGCTCTGGAATTTTTAGATAAAAAGCATTTTTTAATTTTATAAGGAATCATTTCTATTATAGAATGTGATACCTATGGACTCTCATTAGAGCAAAGAATCAGAAATCTTAAAGAGATTTTTTTTTGTATATATGAGCTAAGGACAGTGGTCTTATATTAAAAACTTATCTTAAAAAAGCAATCTTCAAATATGTAATTACCATATTTTTTGAAGCATAAGATACATGTAGGTTTTAGAGGAAGAAAATACAAAAAAATTTTGAAGCAAAAAATGTAGTAAAATATTTAATAACATAAATAACATAATATTTCACCAATGTAAATATAAAGCTACATTCGGACTATGAGATGCACCCCCCATTTCCTCCCAAATTTGGGGGGACAGTGCATCTTAGAGTCCGAAAAATATGGTAGATAGTTCAAATTCTGGTCATACATTTAAGCATACTCTAAAGAAGCAGTTTTAAGTGAATGACCAGGGTACTATAACCCTACTTTTGATGTATGGCTTTTTGACTGTTATTTTAGTGGATATTGATGAACGCACTTGATTTCAGATCTGTCTTAATTCTGATTCTTAATTATTCTGTTAATTGTTCTGTTATCACCATTTGAATTTTATATATTTTGGTAGACTTTCATGAAAGTTGGTAGCAGCTATAATAATATATGCATATATTTTTGATATAAATTAGAAGCTTTTGAATGGACTGTGAATAAACCCTTAATATATCTTTGGTCCATGTTCGCAAAGCGTTTCCTGCATGCACACTGCTATCATATGAATAGCAAGTGTCTTCTTTGGTTTCAGATCGTCCTATTTGAAGACATATTGGAACTCCCATGAGGCTATAGGAGTCTCCATTTCAAGAAGTAAAGCTAATAAAGACAAACTTGAATTACCCTACTAGTTATTCATTTTTATCTTGGTAGCTTTCAGAGTGACTTGCCACTTTACAGAGAGAGGAGAGACTAACAGATGGCAAACGTGTCAGTTGCAGCCTCTGCTTTTGCCCCCAGTGTCATTACATGGGTCAGTGTATTCGTGTTTACAGCCTTGTCTCCAGTGCTAACTCCCCTGGGGATTTTATGGTCCTACTAATTAGAAATTGGCCATCTTGGTGTCCAAGCATGCTCTGAGCCTTTTATTTTTAAAGGACGTATTATGATAACATTAGACATCACCAGTACTAGTCAGTATATTCATTGGTTAATCCTTTCTGAAGAGAGTAATAGTGTGAGAAAATAAGCTCTGTGAAAGGACTATGCTGAAGTAACATAATTAGTAATTTGTACTGTCGTGATTTTTTTTCTTATAGGTTTTTGTTTCATATGTCCATTGAAAGTATTAATTTTCTCTTTGCCACTAAAAATATGGTTAAAAAGATTGGAAATTCCAAATTTTCCATGTGGAGGGGAGAATTAGTAGAACATAAAAAATATTTCATTTATGTATTTATTTGCTTTATAGATATTCTGGACCAAGATTCCAGCTAGAAAGTAAACCTTTATATATTTATTATTTTTTTAGTAAACCCTTAAAATGACAAAACAATTCTGTGCTAGATCTAACAGAAGTTATCAGTTGCTATGCAAAAAAAAATGTGTTGTGAGCAGTTTCCACATTTAATATCTTTGAAAATTGACTCCATCTTGGATCTTGGCCATTTGTTCATGAATGTACAAGAAAAAATATTAGTATGGATATATTTCATGGAATCCTAGAATTAGGAGGGCCTTAGAGATTATATAACCTAATTTTTTCATGTTTTAGATGAAGAACCTGATACACAGAGAGGCTTAGTGACTTGCTGAAGGTCACAAATTTGTAGAACTGGGATTTTATTACAGACCTCTTTACCCTGTACCATGTGTCTTGAATTCAGTATTGATGTAAAACTAAGATTCTGGGTACTTGTTATACACGAGACCATTTCATTTAATATTTACATTCATTATGTTTAGGTTTCTCTCCCTCATTAGGACATAGGGTTTTTTTTTTTTAATTGTTTTATAACTATACAAAGGTATGAGTGAATTTTTGCACTTAAAACTTTTTAGAGTAGTAAGAAAAAAGTGTCAGCAACTCAGCCCTGGCTGGCGTAGCTCAGTGGATTGAGCACAGGCCTGTGAACCAAAGAATCGTGGTTCGATTCCCGTTCAGGGCACATGTTGGGGTTGCAGGCCAGTTCCCAGCAGGGTACACAGGAGAGGCAACCATACATTGAAAATAAAAAAGTGCCAGCAACTCTGTCTTTGTATCTATTACAGAGTCTCTAGAAACAGGGAAAATGATAGTTTGTGTGTGTAAATGTGAAGTAAAGTGTAATTAAATTGCACTTATAATGAGCTCTGAGTAAGTAATAGCTCTGGGAACTGAAGTTCATTTATAGATTGTTTTCTAAAAGTAAGTACCCAATGAACCCTTGTGCCAGAAATGTTTACAAGCTACTGAACATCATCTGGAAATGTATAGGAAATGAAACAGAAAGCATTTTTCTACCTTTATACAAAATTATAATGCATGAAATATTGAAAGTAGTGGAACTCTTCTCCATTGTTCAGATTCTACACTTTATTTCTTTAGCTTGCTGGTAGACTATATATCCATTATCTATGCAGTTCATTTTTAAGGAAGAAGTTTCAAGATGTTCTAGAACCCTTGAATTATTTTATAAAAACAGTGGCCCTGTATATAAAATACCAACCTAACTAGAAGAAACTTTGTATCCCACTACTGCCTTTCCCCTTCCTGAGTTGCTAGGAATACAGTAGGCACTTGATAGTGCTTATTTCAATGTATGGAAACCTTCTTACAATTGTGTTTGTTTCAGATCCCCAAACTACAAGTTGGAAGAAGACCCATTCCTTGCCTACTCCAGCAGGGTGTTATTTTCAGTGTTTAATGTGTTGAACTGCTTTAAAAAAGTGGGATATTATATAAGCAATGCATATTCATGTTATAAGAAGGAAACTAGTCTTTTGTCAGTATATGCTTATTTTTTTAGGGTACCGAAATTTTGTGGCCACTTAAGCGAGCCCATGTAGTATTTGTCTGCAGTAGAAACAGACAAATACTAAGGCTGCTGTACAATGTAGGTTAATTCTTTTTCTTCCCTGCAACTACTAATAGTTGGAGTAATAGTTGGAAGCAGAGTAATCGCTCCATCAACTACTTTGACCCAACTAAAAGGAAAAAATAACTATAACGCTGCCCTGGACAGTATGGCTCAGTTGGTTGGAGCATTGTCCCATAGACCAGGTGGAGTTGTAGGTTCAGTTCCCGGTTGGGCCATATGTCTGGCGTGTGGGTTGGATCCCCAGTTGGGGCATGTGCGAGAGGCAGTCGATCAATGTTCGTGGATCCCTCACGTGGATGTTTGAAACAAACAAAAATAATAACAAAATAAAGTAACTACAATGCTTAACTTGTTCAGTAACCTAATCTTTTTTCCTCTCGTTAAATTTCTCTAAGCAACATTAGTCTTAAGTATACATTGGCATCTATTCATTCAAATGAATAGTTACAGTTACACTAACACATAATAATATTTAACTATAACAATTAATAAAAGCTAACATTTTTTGAATGCCTGCTATGTGCCAAAGGGTTAAGGTTTAGAGCTAAACTTCTTTTTGGGACAAGGGTGTGAATTTTGCTAGTGAAACAGAGCTGATAACATCGTTGAGAATTAGTTGGAGTGTCGGGTGATTGGCTGTGTTGCGTGGTTTCCCGTGGTCAGAAAATGTAACTGTGGTGTTTGGCAAATGTTTGGCAGCTCTTTTCTGTTGGTTACCAGGTAGGTTTAAATTAGCCTTCCTGTAGCATTATACCTGCATTTTCATAGCCTAATTCTTTGAATCAGCGTGAATCTTCTTAAATGGTGGCATGCTATTGATTATTTTAGGCGTAGTGCTATGAGGTGTAAACGATGTAAGAATTCATGTTTCTTTACAGAGCAGTTACACTCTTTATGTCATGTTACAAACCTTCAGTTTCTACCATCAAGGAGCATTGTATTTATATGTTTCTGATGCTATGCAAATGAATGGTTCCTTTAAGAACTTAAAATCTAGCAGGTTTGGGGGAGGATGAAGAGGGTAGAGGGGTCAAGTACATGATGGAAAGAGATTAGACCTGGGTGTTGAGCACACAATAGAATATGCAATCTATAGATGATGTGTTATAAAGTTGTACGGCTAAAAGTTATGTAATGTTATTCACCAGTGTTACCCCAATACATTTAATTTAAAAAATCTAAAGTATCTAAAGGGATTATTATCAATAAACTTTCACATTTTAAAAAAATTACATGTATATTAAATAAACCCTAGGTATTAGACAAATAGCAAAAAGTTCAGACAAATAAATTTCTCTGTGAGTACAATGAGAAAGAGAATATTGGTTATAGACTCTGAGAAACAAATTTTAGAATTTGTTTTGGGTGAAAAGTCATTTTATTATGTTTTACTTGATAAGAAGAGGGACATGCAAGTAAGAGTCAATATGTATCAAAATGCTTAAAGAGTTAATCCAACATAAATATAAAGAAGCTTACATAGTTTGTTTGAAATCTCCAACTTCTCATTCAGAGATTGATTTCATTTATTTGTAGTGGTTTCCTAGTTTTTCCCTTAGTCTGTAGATTGAAAAGTATTGCCCTTTACAAATCAATCATAATCTTACTATATTTGGGGAAGCATAATATATTAAAATGTAGGAGTACAGAACTTTTTTTTCTCTTGAGATTTATAGGAGGAAGAAAAGGACTAGTCTTTCCTTTGGAATGGATCTGAAACAAAGCTAATAATAAACTTGGATTTAATTAATTTGGGTGATGAAAGTACACAGCATCAAATGAGAGCTGGTACTTGATTTCTCTAACATGGGTCACTCACTAGTGTTTTCTCTTCTCTACCTCCCACAGGAAACCAGTTTCCGCCAATTGCAGCACAAGACCTGCCTTTTGTTTTAAAGGCTGGCTACCTGGAAAAACGCAGGAAAGGTAAATTGTAAGATTTAATGGAAAATTCAAAAATGGTTGTACCCTTAGATAGAACATGCTTGCAGTATGCATTGTGGGACCAGGACTCTCTTCGGGTGATCGAAGACTTGTATGACTCTAAGAAAATCTGGATGATGTTATCCAAACCAAAAAAAGTAATTTTTAGCTCCAAATAATTTTTAGAATGAAACATTTGGTGAGGGTTCTAGTGATCAACCTCAGTTATATTTGTAAATGATTCAGGAGCTGTTTCCTGCATTTCAGAGGAAGGTTGTCGGGGCCAGGACTGTGACCTCAGGTGTGGAACTTCATACCATTGTCTGACCCCACTGCGCAGCAGGTCACCCTCTACCTGACCTGACACACACCGTGTGTGCTATGGTCCAGCTCGAACCTGGCATACTTTCTGCCATTTTCTGTTATTCATTCAGTATTCCTGTCCACTGGCTTTGATAATAGGGAGTTGACCATGTGGTCCCACTCTTTCAACACCAATATATAATGGAAATGAAATACGGAGGTGGTGTTATGATATATGGGAAATGAAGGGCAGAAAGTCTCTTCATTACCATTCTGCATATCTCTCGGGAGTCCCTTTAGGCCTTTCTATTTATATTCCATTTGCTTTTCTTAGCTTTCTTAGCTGAAGCTGAAAGCTGAAAGAGATAACAGAAAAGATCTGGGTCAACTCCTCCCCTCGCTGCCTTTTCGTAACAGATGAGAAAATAAGACCCAGATGAATCACTTATCTCCAGGCCCTGTAGTCAAATGCTTTTTTGACCCTCCCTGTCAGGCAAGTTAGTGGTGCTGCTGAGCCCATAAATGTAGCAGCTCCGTCTCTGCTTCACTCTATTCTTTTTAGCTTTGTTTCTGTCTCTTGGAAAAGAAGATTCAAATTCATTAGTCCTAGAATTCTAAAGCTAAAAAGGAACCTTGGAAATCGTATTAAGTAACCTTATCCTTTACAATGAAGAATTGGTGTTATGTGTACACATGTGATGTATGTTAGCTAAACTGTACCCTTTCCCCCTTTATTGTAGATCACAGCTTTCTGGGATTTGAATGGCAAAAACGGTGGTGTGCTCTCAGTAAAGGAGTATTCTACTATTACGGAAGTGACAAAGGTAGTATTGGTGTGCAGTTTTCTCAACTTCTACTGCATGAGGGTTTGGGAGCCATTTTTCACCCTCCTTTTTTGGTACAGAGTAAACTGAAGACAGATGGAGAAAGAATAACTGAGAACTTCAAAAATTATAGCCTAAGACTGATGTATAATTCTATTTCACTATTTGACAAATTCTTCAAATTCCAGAATGCCCTAAAAGTTAATACAATTATGTTTTATTGAATTAGGAAAGGAGATAAAATAACTTTCACCTGTGTGGCCTTTCACCTGAGGAAATATTTATCACCCAGGCCATAGCCGTAGAATCTCTGTGGAGGAGTTAAGACCATAGGGCTATGAAAGTTTGGCTGTCTGGCACTTCAGTTACATTCTCTTGCCTAACTACAGTTCTGTGTGGTAAGGTACTATTCTTAGCCCCACTCATTTTACTGTTTGGAAAACTGAGAACAGAGAGGTTAAGGAAGTTGCTCACGGTCACAGAGCTGGTAAATGGCAGATCTGGGCTTTGAATCTAAGCAGAATGGTTAGAGTTCATACTGTTAACTGTCATTGTCACTATATTAACTTAGAAACAGTGAGATACATTTTATAATTAATTCCATTTGCTAACTGATAAGTCTCTTAGTCATAGTTCATGTAATTTTCAGTTCATTATTTCAACAAAAAAGTCATTGTAAAATACTGAATTTTTTTTAGTTTTGATTTTTTTCTAGGAAAAGGTCATAAGTTAAATATTGTAGAGTAAGTAGATATATAGATATATAGGAAGAGCTAACATTCATATCCATAAAGGACACTTAAGGAGAAAAAAGATGTACAAGTTTAATATCATGGAATCTAAACTCTCCTGTGGAATTCTTATCAGTATTGTTACTTATCAGTGTTGTTTGGACATTTATTTGACATTACTTGAAGATTTTAGGGGGGTTTTCTTATAAACTTGGGTAGATATGTTGAGTGTATTTCAGGTAGATTTGAAAAACATGCATGATGCCAGGAGTTGACCCGGCGTTTTGGCTAGTTGGTAGTTTGTTTTCTGTCATAATTTACAATATGTTCAAATGTAATAATGGTATCAGCGAAGTGTAAACTGTAAATAACTATCATCAGGTAGCCTTCTTTCTTGTGCTAAGGGTAAGTAGGTGATTTTGTCTGAAAATTTAGAGTCCAAATTCAATTCTAATTTTCATAGGTCATTAATATGTGTTGCTATTATAGAAATAGAATTCTGTACTGCTTTGTGTGCTGAGATCAAGATCTGACTTTTGTGTAAAGAAATATCCTCAGTTTTATAAGACCAGAGGAAAGAGGTTTTAAGACCTGTGACTTTTATTCAGTTAGGCTTCTCATTTCTAATTTCTTTAAGAATCAATGAATGCTAATGTCTGTTTCCTCCACTCCCAGTCCTAACTGGCTTACCAACTGTTAGGTCAAAGGTTGGCAAGAGTTTTCCGAAAACCTTATCAGTGTTTATATTTATTTCAAAGTAATATTCAATTAATAAATTCCAGGAGCTTTTGGGGGATGTTAATTAGTTACATTCCCATTTCTAGTCTTACTTGATGTTTAAACTCTTTCCTATCTGTTACTATAAAGCCTCCTCTTTCCATGGAGATTTCATATCTGCGTTTAGTGGTTCTTTTCTCTGTGGCCACTTCCTTTGGAATTCTTGGCCAGTTCCTTCTGGGGGTGTGGGGAAAAATGTACCTTTAGATATTTTTAATTGCTTGCTTGTCGTGATCTTAATTTCCTTCCTTTGTATCTCCTTCCAGGAAAATTTATGTGTCACATGAAATTTTTATTTTCTTTTGTGAAATTGGATAACTAATTTGTGCAGTCCTATTTACCTTATGTGTGAACCATTTACCTAAACTTTTGAAAGCTATTTAGATATATGAGAACTATAATCCTCCAACTACGTGGGATTTAGATAAATGGATTATAGAGGCACAGAAGGAGTTGATACCACTTACTAGGTTAAACTGTACTTTGTTACTGTTTGACAGATACATAGTTCATATTTTCTAACATTCTATGTATGCCAAAAACCATTTTGACCCATCAAGACAGTAATGGCTTACAAAGAGTAGTTCCAGCCTCTGGGGTAAATAAGGCACTTACCTTTGCACCCATAAATATTATCTGTATTTATTATTCATGGCCATTTGGGGCCCTCCAGTAATAAATATATAGAGAGAGTACATATTTTATCCCTTCATAAAATTACATCCATCCTTTCATCTCCTCCCTCTTCCTTTGATTGTTTGAATCTCATTCATCAGACTTGTTTGGTTCTAGATGCTGAGACTGCCTTCAAGGTAGTTGTTCATTCACTCTTTCATTCATTTATTTATTTTTATTTGCTAAATATCTATTAGATACTAGGCACTGGGAATCCAAAGATAATCCTGCCTTAGAGGTACTCACAGTTTAAGTAAGAAGAAGAGAGAAAGTTGTAGGATTGTAGGTTGGGGCTGGGTAGATAAACTGATCATTTCAAACAGCCATAGTAAGTGATTTAAATAAAATATCTTTGGATCACAAAGGAGGGGTGGCCAACTGCCCAGGGGAGTTCAGGAATACTTCCTAGTGGAGAGGACGTTGGGCCTTACATAATGAGGAGTTTGTCAGGTGATGAGAGGTAAAATGGGTGTTCCAGGCAGGGGAACAGTGGAGATTCTGACTTGCGAAAAGCCTTGGATGAGATCAAAGCTGACTCAAGGCTGAGCAGAATAAAGTGAGGGGGAGGAGGCCCATGAGGCTAAAGGAGTGGGCCAGGATCTGATTAAGAACCGGGCTTAAAGACCACATTTAGTTTTTAGGAAGTGATTGTAATGGCATCATGGAGGGTGGGTAGGGATGGATAGAGACCTGGTCCACAAGATCATTTAGGGGGGTACTGAACTAGTGTGCCCAAGAAAGGCTGTCGCAGGGCTACTGCTGCCGGCCGATTACGGGTCAGGGCGGACCTCTCCAGCCGCACAGCATGCTCTTCCCACGGCTCAGTTATCATCAGCCCTCCAACACGCCTGCCAGTGATGGCTCCCTTGGGAGCCTGTTCCAAACTCGCGTTTCGTTTTGCTTTTCCCTTTTTCTTTTTAACCTCCATATGACCTTGAATCAGCATTATGGACCTTTCTTATCTCTTCCCACTTCTGAAAGGGGAGAGGTTACTCTGTAGTGTTCTCTTTTCTTCCTGCTCCAGAGGTTTTGCTCTCCCTGCCTCCATTCTCCAATTAGAGAAAATCTTAGCACCACCCAGCATGTGGCAGCTGTAGGCAGGCGTGGTCCTACCACATCATCCTAAATGTATACCAGAAGTCATTGATTACATGACGAGGGTTGTCATTTTTTCAGTGTTTTATGTTTTTAATATATGATAAAAGTAATTAGAAAATTGGGCTTAATACAGATAATTTAAATAAAACTTTTAGGTTGGCAAGGAAATAAATTTTTTTATTGAAATTGACTTCTGCTCTCTCACTTCCTTTGCAACCTCACCATTGACAAGAAAAATAGGATCTATCTGTTCGGCCTGGATGAAAATGAAAAAGTGCTTTTGATGCTGAAACAGCATCATAGTTCTTTTTGAATATTTTAAAAATATTGTTAAAGAACAGAGTATTTGTACAGTTGGAAGTTGTGTTGTTTTATAGCAGCAACTTCAGTAATAGCCACAAAAGCTCGCCTTTTTTTCCTGATTCATTTGATAGAGGCATATCCTGGGTCAGGGCATCAGCATTTTATAATTGTATCATGACTGTATGTAAGATGTATCAATGAACTCATATTTCAAAATTTATATTATAGTTTTGTTTGTGTACAGAAAGATAATACCTATGTTATTTTTTAAGAAAGAGGGATACTTAGTTCTACTTTTTACAAGTGATTGCAATTTTATAGGTTTTGGGACCTTCAATATACAAATATTAACTTAATAGTTTATCACAGTAAATGTTAAATAAAAGGCCTTTATTTTCTGCCTTTATAGAGATTTTGTAACAGTATAGAGAAGTTAAAATGTGTATCTGCTATTTAGTAGGATTTCATCAACATGTAGAATTACTCAGATACAAATAGGGCTTATGAAGGGTCTGATGATGACAAATCATGTTGGTTTGCAATAAACTATGGTACAATTTGATTGAAAACACAGCTACATTCCTATATAGGTTGAAGATATGTAGAGATTGAAGGTAGATGTATTGTAAATCAAATACTGTGCACTGCTATAACTATTATATAGATATATGGATGTTGCTTTATCTATCTGTGTATATATAAATAGATAAAGCAACATCTATACCAATAGACCTTCTTTGAAAACCTATGTGTCGGGTCTTATTAATATAAAGTGGCATAATACACTCACTCGCAGGAGTGGGCACAGAAGACTCATAAAGCATTATGATATGTAGAAGCTGGCGCACAGGGGCAGTAGGTGAGTGACGGCTGTGAGCCAGGAAGGGGCGGGAGCAAGCTGTTCCATGTCACGAGTTTGGCCTTTCCTGTCTGAGGGACAGTTAATGTGTGTAAGCATTGGAGGTAAGTAGATCGCAGGAGAATCTGACTGGATGTTGAGAAGATCATGTTGACAGCTGTCAGAGGAGGGTGAGACGGAGGGCAAAGATGTGTTCCGAAGCTGAGAGTAACTGAGTTCAGAGAGGTCGTCTGCCACCTTGAGCCTTGGAAGAGCTGCAGGGTATCTGAGATGTTTGAACCGCTCTCCTGTTGCACAAGTAGCAAGTGTGTCCTTTATTTTCCAGTTACCATAGGAGACTCTAAGAGGGAGATATCTGTAGGGTAGGAAGGTACTCTGTGCAATGTTCATCTTAACAATAGCTATAAGTTATGACTGTCTAATGGACCATATCATAATTGTTATCTGAATTTCAGTTGCAGAGAAAAGCAATGGATATAGTCAAAAAAGTAGACATGGAGCTTTAAATTCCCATTCTACAAAAATGCCCGTAATTTATTTCTTCTCCATTCACAACT